CTGACACTACCTCCCCAATACACCACCCTCCTGACACTGCCTCCCCAATACACCACCCTCCTGACACTGCCTCCCCAATACACCACCCTCCTGACACTACCTACCCAATACACCACCCTCCTGACACTGCCTACCCAATACACCACCCTCCTGACACTACCTACCCAATACACCACCCTCCTGACACTGCCTCCCCAATACACCACCCTCCTGACACTGCCTCCCCAATACACCACCCTCCTGACACTGCCTCCCCAATACACCACCCTCCTGACATACCCCAATACACCACCCTCCTGACACTGCCTACCCAATACACCACCCTCCTGACACTACCTACCCAATACACCACCCTCCTGACACTGCCTACCCAATACACCACCCTCCTGACACTACCTACCCAATACACCACCCTCCTGACACTGCCTCCCCAATACACCACCCTCCTGACACTGCCTCCCCAATACACCACCCTCCTGACACTGCCTCCCCAATACACCACCCTCCTGACACTACCTACCCAATACACCACCCTCCTGACACTGCCTACCCAATACACCACCCTCCTGACACTACCTACCCAATACACCACCCTCCTGACACTGCCTCCCCAATACACCACCCTCCTGACACTACCTACCCAATACACCACCCTCCTGACACTGCCTCCCCAATACACCACCCTCCTGACACTGCCTCCCCAATACACCACCCTCCTGACACTACCTACCCAATACACCACTGTCCTGACACTACCTACCCAATACACCACTGTCCTGACACTGTCTACCCCATACCCCTCCCTCCTGACACTGTCTACCCCATACCGCAGGCTGGGGTGCTCAAACCATCTCCTTCCCAGAACCCCCAGTGCACAAGGCTCGGGAGGTAGGTGGGGCGCTCTGCCTTTTGCCCCCAGGCTGATTTCTCAAGAAGGCTCATTAGAGGGTGGTCAGGAGGGATACTTAAGCCAGAGCTATTTGGGAGGGGTCCATGCCCTCTTAGGTGCCCACCTCCCCACCCAGCAGCTCCCATGCCACCCCACTCTCTTGCCTGGGTCACAGTGACCTTTGTCTGGAGCAGAGATCAGGCATCCACCCTCCGCCACCGGGCAGAGCATCAGGGATGAGTGCCGCCCCAGCTAGCCCGGATCTCAGCTTTCCCAGGGAAGGACAGCTCTCAGCGAAGCTTCGTCCACTCCCCTCCCTGCTGCGATGAGTTTTGTTTTACAAAGTTTATGAACAAGTAACTCCTGTATTTGTTTGGTAGACTTAGGTTTTTGTGTTTGGATTTTGCTTAAAGCGAGACATGCCTATCATTCAGCATACCCGAACCACATAGTTGTAAGACAAGATTTACATTTGTTCCTTAAGTAGTCAGCTCCTGTCAGTGGATGTGGCATGAAAATGTGACAAGTCGTGGACGTCAACAGTCAGAAACATCTCTAAACTGTGTGTCCAGATATCATTGTAATATGTGGCCTGTCTGCATCAGAACTACTGGCTTACTTACTAAAAATGCAAATTCTAGGCTTGCCGGTGGACTCAAAAGGTGTGTAACAGAATTCAAGAATCTCCTTTTAGAGGGGCAAGGGACTAGGGGGCAGGGACGTCTGACCAAGAATGAGAAACCATGATGAAGGCAGTAATGTTCACAGGAGGTGTGTGTGTGCGTGTGTGCGTGTGCGTGTGTGTGGGTGTGCGTGTGTGTGTGCGTATGTGTGTGTGTGTAAGAGAGAGAGACAGAGATAGAGACTGAGGTGAGGTGGGTCCCTGAATATCTGATTTCAAAGAGGTCAGTGGGTGCTGGTGTTCTGGTGCCACACACTACACTTTTATCTCTTTGATCCATAACAACAAAGCAGAAATGAAAACTTCCTTCTCTTCTTTATTAAAATAAGCTTTCTTCTTAGCCCAACAGAAGAGACCCCAGCCATACCAGGGCTAGCCAGCCTTCCAGAGGAGCCTGTCCCCTGCTGTCCTGGGGACCCCAGCACCAGCTGAAGCCTCCGGAGTGGCTCATGGCTCTCTGTCCATCACTGCAGCTGTGGAGGAGTAACCTCGGCACCCACGCCCTTCTATGGGACACCCGCAAATACTTTTCAATAAGCTTGAGTCCATTTCATCACCCACACAAACACAAACAGAAAGACCCTCCACTAGGTCTGTCACCAGCTTGACATAAATTTGTTTTTCATATTCCTCACGGAAAATAGAGCTACGCTCAATCAGAAAGGTGAAAATGGAATGGGTGAGGGTATTTTAATTCTCTCTTCTCTCTCTTCCCTCCTTGCTATGTGTACTTGGAATATGTGCACACACTCAGCTGTAAGAGCTGTTTGGGACTTGGGAACCAGCTTGCCTGGACATCAGAGGCCACAGGGTCCGTCCCTATCTCTTTGCAGTCTGTGCAGTTGCCCCGGTTGGTGGAGCCATGGTGGCTGTGCCCTGTGGGCTGGGAATGATTGCAAGGGGACTGCAGGTCAACACATGCTGCATAAACCAAAGAGCAATATGTCTCCCACTCATAAATAGGGCCGTTTTCCAAAAAGACGTGGATGGTGTGGTGGTCAGTAATCACCATCAGACTGAAAGGCACCTGCGTCCCTGGGAGCTTCAGGTTACAGTTCCCCAGAAACTCAAGACACTCATGTTGTATCTGTGACACTTTCTTAACATTTAAAATCAATCCTCCAGAGGTAATATGATAACGACTGAGAACAAACCAGGGGTTGCTGGTGAAAACCAGGGAAGGGCTGACAGCAAGAGGCATAGAGTTTAGACGTTCAGCCCTGGGAGGGAGGAAGAAGAGGCGTGGGGGGCTCGAGCCTAGGGCCTGCCTCCTTCTCTCCTCCTAGTGGAGTCCAGGCTGGCTGCTGAGCACCTCACACACAGGAAGATTATTGCCTCTTTGTGTCCAGATTAACTGTCCCCAAAAGTGATCGGGTTCTCTGATTCACCCCTGCTACCTTCACCCTGGCAGAGGGGAGCCTGGGCCCCTTGGCCATGTGCACTGAGACCAGCTGACACCCTGCTTGACTCGAGCTCCTCAGCCCCAGTTCAGCCCACCCAAGACCCAGAGTCCTGCCTGTCTCTGCCCAGTGATGGTTTAACTCCTATCTAGACCATACCATGTTCCCAAAACGCTTCTCAGTGAGAAGGATACAAGTAGCTTTCTTTGGGCCTCCACGTGCTCCCAGCTGATGCCTCGTGATGCTCTCTCCTGGGTCCTCCTCTCCTTCTCCTTCCTCCACTCAGGCAGGTGGTTCTCCTGGTGCCTCCAGGAGGGAGCACACGGCACGGCAGAGAGCCAGCGTCACCATGGACACCTCTTGGCTCTTATTTCCCAAAATCCCAAACCAAGAGAAGAGGGAAGAGGCAGAAAGTTCAGCAGGTGCAGAATGTGGGGGCTTCCTGCGGACTAGACAGATGACCTGGTGGGCCTGAAGGAGCTGGGAGGCTGCAGACCTCAAAGCTGAGAGACCTCAGGCTCTCCTGGGTCACTTGTCCTGGGAAGTGATTCCATGAGATTCTTGGTATCCTCAAAGCACAGCACAAAGGGACACCAGGTGGCCCAACCCAGTGGGGACCACCTGCGGCCAGAGGGCTTTTCTGTGCCTCTGCCTTGCCTGAGTCTTTGAAATAACCCTGGTGAGGTGGGGAGGAAGCAGCTGGGAATCAGAACTCGCCTTACAAACCGGAAGTGGGATTTTCCACAGAGGGGAGGCCAGGTGTAAAAACGAATGAGGGTGATTTATGAAAAGCAACGAAATGCAAAGTCCCTGCAGACTGAGGTTCACAGCTTGCCCACGCTCCGCCTGCACCTCCGGCCATCCCGTGTTTCACACTGACAGCCTCGCCCCCTGGGCCTGCTCAGCGGAGGCTCCTGTCTGAGGGAAACCTACGTTCGGCCACCAGAGGAACCCGGCAAAGTGGGCAGGCACCTTCCCTTCTCCACCTGCCTCTGTTGTCAGGATGAATGGCCCAGACTCCCTGAGAAGCTCTCGTGCTCACCAGACACCTTTCCAGTTTCAAGACCTTTCCTCAGCCCCTGAAGTCCCACAGACCCCACAGAGCCCCTCCCGGCTCTTGCCTTGTTTCCTAGGAAGGTCACATGTTCTTTAGCGCAGTCATTACCCACACTCTCCCCAGGGTGGGAAGTTACCCAGTGCCTCCAAGGGAAAACAAGTTCCCTCCAACTTCAAGTGGCTAAAAGTGGCAGTGATTTCAATGCTTTCGTTCCCTCTGCCCAGGGAGGGGGCTGAGGAGAAATGGATTGAGACTGACTGAAGGTCGTCGGAACCTGCGTGGCCCCGTGCTGAGCGCCGTGTGGTCACCAACCTGTTCCACCCACATGTACGGCCTAGCGGCTTGGGAGGGACATGGAGACATGGAGCAGCAGGGAGGCTGCGTTGCCAGTACCCCAGCCATGCCTCCTGAAAAGCAGGAGCATGGACATGTCACCCCCCTGGGCCTCATCCCCTTGGTCCCCTCCTCCAGCAGGTGAATATGACACTGTGGGCAGATGCAGGGGCATTGCAGGGGGGCACTGGAGAATCCACGGGAACTGAGCGGCATCCATGATGGAGGCCTGGAAGCAGAGGCAGAATGTGGGTGGCCTGGAGCTTCTCCTAAGGGTGGCCAGAAGTAGGAAAATAATAATGGACATGTGGGCTCATTCCTCATCACACACAAAAAAGTGCCAAGATGGAGCAGAGCACAGGACACTGCAAGGACAGTGATCTCAGCCCAGGACCAGGGCGGGCTCATGTCAGACCATCCCTGACAGCCAAGGTGCCCAATGCCACACTGACCTGGTGGTTTTCAGAGCTCTTCCTTGCATCACCCACAACTGCTCACGGTGATCCCGCATTAAAGGAAACTGCCAGTCCTTGGGTCTGTGATGCCCCTGCCTGGCCCCACACCATCCCGCCGTGTGCCCACACAGCCTCTGAGTAATGCAGTGGGTTCACTGCACATGGAAGCCAATATTATAGCTCCTACTTTTGAGAAAAGAAAAGGCTTTATTGCAAGGCCAACCAGCAAGGAGACAGGAGGCAGGGCTCAGATCTGAATCCCCAGTATTAGGTCAGGTGAGACTCTAACGGGCTGGGGAGGGCAGGTTGGTATGCAGACGCACTGGCGGGGCGGATTTTGATGGGACAGCTTTAAATGTGGTTATTTACGGTAAGGCGCGGAATGGTGGACTTCAGCACTGGCTCTTCCTGGATAACAGACCGCTCGTTTCTGAAAGGGTTCCCGTGTTCAGCTTCCAGTGATGCCCAGGCTTTTTGATTCCTCAGGGAGGAAACGTTGGTTCTAAGTGTTACTGAGGTGACAGTTTCCTGCTCTCCACATGCCCAGGTCATACGACTGCAGCTTCGGCTCTGCTACTTCTGCAGAACAGCTTGACATCCTGTGATGCACATGATAGGGAGAGTTAGGACTGGTCCTGCAGTGACAGTCCTTCCCGAGTCTCCCAGGTGCTGACAGATAAAACAGTTTTAACTTGACCTAAAGTCTCAAACTAGGCTTGAGGACATTTAATACAAATGATTGGTGAAGTGGCGCCATCACATGCCATAATTAAACACATCCAAACAGCCTAATCTATGCACAGTTACATCTAAACAAAGTCACCCACTCACACCATGCTGGCATCTATTTTAGATAAATCATCCAATTTCTCGCCCACATACTCTTCCAAAAGGTCATGCCGCCCTGAGCAGCCAGGTCTGTGATGAGGGTTTGAACTCCGCACTGCTGCTCACTCCCCTCTCCAGAGCCCAGCATTAGCTTCCGCTGGACCACCCAGAGAACCCCACAGGTGCCCTGCTGGCTCCCCTCAGCCTCCAGCAGCTCCTGAGCCCCAGAGCCCAGGTTGCACCCCAGGTCCGTTCAGCCCCACCTCTGGGAGGGAGGGCCTGGGCTTGGAGCTTCCTGAAGCTCCCGGATGACTCCAACCAGCAGCTAAGCCCAAGAGCCCCTAATTCAGGCAGTCAGCATGCGTGCATGAGTCATATTTTGTCATGTAAACCCCACATTCTCCAAGTAAAAATTGAGGCCGGCACTGGGTACTCAATAAGATCATTAAAGTCCTGTGATCATGACTAACGTTCAACCACAGAGGGCACGGAGGTACACTGACCACTGACGGCACAGTCAGGGAGGGCGGGGCCATAGGGACAGAATGACGGGGAATCACGTGAACCCACCAGTGACCACCACGCCCTCACCCAGCAGACCGCCAAAAGCTCCCCAAGAGCAGAGGGGTGGATCTGCTGGCCCCAAGCTGCCTGCTCCCCCCCGGTTCTCAAACCCAAGCACCTCCGCTCCCCGCTGAGTGCGGAGACCTGTGACTTCACACTCTGCGGCATCATTGTGCTCTGCTGGGGAACGCACAGTGCCCCCATGCAGTGCAGTGTGCATCGTGCAGAACCTACACCTGCCGTCACCCTGCACCCGGCCCCTCACTCGCTGTCCCCACCCACATTCCCACGTTGCTGTTCCCCCTTTAGAGGCCCTTGGGTTCAGAGGATGCCCTGAGCCATGGGATTCCTATGAGCATTTGAGTGCTTGCCCAGAGCCAGACTCCAAAGTGGACACAAAACAAGAGAGCTAGGCATGACCACACTAAGTGGAGCACGCCGTTACCACACTAAACATAAAATGTTTCTGCTTAAAATAAAATAAATCCAATAATTTCCAGGTCCCCGGAATTTATTCAGAACCCCTGTAAACTGCTAGATGGTTGCCCTCAAGTCATGGAAGCACAGAGGAACACCAATGAACGTCCAACGCTGTGCTTTCGCAAAACACACAATCCTGTCCTCTCCCCATTTCGGTCCCAAGAAAATCACACCAGTGGAGCAGCAAGAATGGGGGCTTGCTGTGGACCATCACAGCCCCATAACTGAGGGACGGAGGTGGAGGCGACCCAGGAATAAACCGCAAAGTGCCTGGGCTCCAGGTGGCTCCATCAAGGGCCATGAGCCCCACTGGGGAGAGGTGATGCACTTCTTTGCTTCTTTGTATTTAGAGCCCCCTGCCCTCCAGAAAATATTTTTACTCAAAATTAAATTGTCGTTGAGATATCATTTTATTTTTATTACGAATAGATTTCACCTAAACTGAAAGCTGAATGGATGTCTTTGAGATTTTTTAAGTGTATAAAAAGGAAGTAAATCCCACCCTGGTACATGACCCTACTATTCTCAGCACCGTGTTTCTGAAATCTTCCTGAAGTCGATCTTTTTACCCCTCCCTTCCTCCTCTCCATTCATTTTTGACCCAGACCCTCTTGTAGGCACTGAATAGCAGGGAAGGAGACAGGCCCAGATCTGGCTCTGGTGGGGTTCATATCCTGGTCTAACAGAAACAAAGAGGGGATGAAACATTTTCATTAGAGCTAGTGTCATGAACAAAAGGAAACAAGATGAGTAGAGGTCACCACAGCTCCTAGCAGGGGACAGGCAGAGACGGCTGCTCTGAGAGGGTGAATTTGTGAGACTTACAGAACAGGAGACAGACCCAGCGCAGACCGCCCAAGCAGAGGGAACGCAGTACTTGCCAAGTCCTGCAGGAAATGCCAGGCAGAGATGACCAAGAGAGAGCTTCCCTGAAGGAACCTGCACTTTAGTCTGGGAAAGAAAAGTCAAGGCCGTTGATGGAGGACTCGCCTCACACCAGGCTCAGCTCTGAAGTGCTTGCCATGAACACAGGGCAGCAGCCAAGGTTCCTACTGCACACAGCAGTGTATTTCAGTCTGCGCCCGAGACCACACTCCTAACCACAACACTCCAGGACAGGTACACAGGAGGTTGTAACCAGGGGCAAAAACAGTAAGGGACCTTGAGGACCAGAGAAGGATCTGGCAGAAAGGAAGTCAGGACCTCGCCAGGTACAGATGATTCAATGTGGCAGAGACTGGGCCAGAAAAGGCGCTGTGGAATCCACCCTGTTGGCTGGAACACTTGTGCTGGGAGCCCTGAGCAAGCCCCCGTGGAAGGCGGCTCAGGGTGCCATGCTGCAAGGAAGCCCAGCCACACAGAGGCCACGTGCGCCACAGACACAGGAGTGAGCAAACCTACTATCAACTCAAATCTTCCCAACTGACGCACCACACCCTGGGCTCCTTCCCAATTCCTTACCCACAGAATCCATGAACACAGCAAAATGGCTATTGTTGTACTAATTTTGGGGTGGCTCGCTGTGTACCCATAATAACTGAAAACCAAGGATGTGCAAAAGAAAGCAAGAGTGCTGATGCCGCTGAAGCGCTACAGTGACCTCAACGAGAGGACCTGTGCTCTAGCCCCAGTTCCTGAGTCTGAGAGGTCAAAATGGGAACATTAGAAACTGATCCACCATCCTTTGAAAGGAAAGGCTCAGGGACGTGGCTATCTCAAAGGCAGATGTCCAGGGGGTCTGAACTGCAATGTGGACCTCCCCATCCCCTTCTCACCCTGGGGATGCTTTCTGCCATGCCATCGCCCCCACGTAAAAGCCCTATGAACAGAAAGCCAGTGCACTGTAAACACGGATGCCACATGGAGAAATCCTCTCAAAAAGGGGTGCACAGACCTAAGAGCTTCTGCACCACTGAGTAATACATTTAGCCTGTCGCATTAATATGTTAACGACGGTAAGCAGAAAACATTTAATTAGCCAGAGCTTTGCTTGTTTTCTTTGAATTTTAAAGGATTTCCAGGACATGCACTGGGATCTCTAAAATCTTGAGGGAAGGGTGAGCCAGCACCTTCTTGACCTGAGGTGGATCCCGTCAGCAGGCAGAGGTGCACGGAGCCCAGGCTGCAGCCTGGCCTCTGCGAGGCGATCTTCTCTGCTTTCCTCTTTCTTCTCCTCCTTTCCAATATCTTCAGACGGGGCTGAAAGTAAATGAACAAACACACTTACATAGACAGATTGATCACTTCTAATCTGAAAATCTGAAATCTGAAATGCTCCAAATTCCAAAATTTCGTTACTGTCAACATGACACTGAAAATTCCACACCTGACCTCATGTGATAGATTGCAGTCAAAATGTTGTTTCATGCACAAAATTATTTAAAACATTATATAAAATTACCTTCAGGCTGTGTTTTAAGGTATATCTGAAACATAAGTGAGTTTTGTGTTTAGGCGTGAGTGGGTCTCATCCCCTAAGACAGCTCATTACCTGTATGTGCATATTCCAAAATCCGAAAACACTGGAAATCCCGAACACTCCTGGTCCCAAGCATTTCAGATAAGGGACACTCAATCTGTGTGTACATACACATGCACATATGAATGTATTTGCGTGTGTGTGTGTATTTAGAGAGAGATTTGCAAAGGTTATTTGGTTGCTCCCTGATCATGGCACCATCTTGATTCTAGGATCTCTTGAAGTTCTGTTAAAGGAACCAACAAATGAGCAGGGAAGTGTGTTGAGAAATAAAAGTGACCGTGCATGAGACTCTGCTGGATAAGACAAGCAAAAAATTGGGGTCAAAGGCCTTGAACTGTTCAAATAAGCAAGAGTGCAAGCTCCATGACTCTCTGGAACTGCAGACACCCCACAGGGAAGTGGGGATGCCACTGGAGGATCAGAGACTCTATGCTGCCTCTTGAAAAGCTGACAAATTCCATTATATATACATTTTATGCACCTAAACTCAACAATTTAACAATTCATGTTGGTCAACATTTTAAAGACAAATGCCCAGAAAAAATAGCCATGAAAAAGGGCAGCCAGTGGTACCCAAAAACCCACCTAGTGGACTCATGTGCCCAGAGAGCTTGAGACACACACTCTGCGGTTCTCTGGGTCGCGCTCAGCGGCCCCGCGCTTTCCATGGACGTCGAGAGAAGGTTTTGCTGAGCCATGTCACTCATGTTTGTAGATTGGTAACCCATGGGCACCACGGCACTGGCATTAGGCAGGGCGTGGCACGGGGAACAAAGCAGGGAGCCCTGAACAGCAAGCCGTCGTGAGTGACTGGGGGCATCCGCGTGGGCTTCAGCCTCCACCCTGTAAGCCAACTGGAGGTCCCAGCTGTAATCCGGACCAACTGTGCTCTGCACATGCGCTTCCTCAGCATCGTTCACACAGCTCCTTGCTAAGATTCCAGCGCCACACTTGCTGTCTCTTCGTAGCCCTGGTTGCCCTTCTCAGGGAGAGAGCTTACACTGACCTGGGGGCAGTGGTCGAGAGATGATGTATCCACAGCTTGGGTGGGGCAGGGGACCACCATCTTCCTCCAATCGCCACTCTTCCACCAATGCAGCTCACAATCACCTCAGCCCTAAACCAATCTTACTGAAAGCAAATGCCATCCATGCAAAAGATCAGATGTATACAGTACAAGGTGGCACAAAGCCGTGATTACTAAAACAGAGCATTATCAGGAAACGGGCCTGGCATCTTAATTCCTAAGTCGCTAATAGAGTTGATCTCATACCTCAAATACCTCTGGTCTCAAAGCTTTGATAAATCTGAGAACAGAGTTGGGTCTTCGGGAAATAGAGACAGCAGCAGGAAAATCCGGAAATAGCATCAGAGGATCCTTCGAAAAACATAGTAGAGAGAGAGACAGACCCCACCTGTACATGGAAGGCAGCTCAACCAAGACAAGACTCAGGAAGATTCCAGGCCGTGGAAGGTGCATATTGCAGTATCATGCCCCTTCAAGACCCTTTAAGCAATCCATTGTATTCAGCAGAAAACACCAGTCTCATCTGAGGAAAACAAATCCCAGGATAGCCAATCAGTGAATTACAGTCTTAGCAGGCACTCACCAGAGGAGGCCGGGTCCAGTGAAACCCGAGAATCAGCCCACACCAAAATTCTGCAGGGAGTCAAAGAAAAACATACACAAATGCTCACATCAGTGTTAGTCATAATGCCCAGAAAGCAGTCACTGGTGGGCGTATGGAGAAGCCAAATGTGGTCCATCCATAAGGTAATGTGGTCCATCCATACGGCGGAACACTGTGGAACCCTGAAAGGGAAGGAAGCTGTGATCCCTCCTGCTGCCACACAACAGACCTGAAAACACTGTGCTCGGTGAAAGAAGCCAGACACAAAAGACACACACTATTTGATATAGTTCTGTGAAATGCCCAGAATAGGCTGATCTGCAGAGACAGAAAGCAGATTCCTGATTGCCTGGTGGCAGGGGAGGCGGGACTGGGATGTCACCGCTAGTGGGGTGGGGATTCTTTCTGAAGTTAGACAGTGATGGTCACATAGCATTGTGGATGTACTAAAAGTCACTGTTTCCTACACTTCAAAATTGTTAAAATAGTGTTACATTATGTGAATTCTACCTCAACTTTATAAACTCTATTTGGTTAATCCATTTTTAAAAATTCTGCAGTGGCAGCATCTGGCCAGGGCTCCTTTGTCAGCATGCCTTGGGTGAGGTGAGGAAAGTGGCTGGGAGAGGAAAAATGGCCCATGAGGTGTCAGGAAGCCAGTGGGATCCAGCCAGAATTTACGGATAAACCATAACCTGGTTTTTTAAGTATTTCACACAAAGGATCTTAAATCCCAAGAAATAGAAACGTGCTGCCAGTTCCTTTCATGGATCCAACCAGAAAGAGGGCATGGAGAGGGCCTGAGATGGGCGAGGGCCTCTCTTGCTCTGTTTTCAGCCAACCTCAACCACGGTTGATGAGTCCTGTGGGGCTCCACGCCAGGGAACGGCCATTCCGATGGCCTTTGTTCTTGAGGCTCCCGTAGGAGAAAAAAAAAAAAAAGAAAATCCCATTCAATCACCATAACCTGTCCCTGCAAGAGCATAAAAATAAGTGATTGCTTATTTGAAACACCTGAACTATCGCTGCTGCAGCAACTCAGGAAATCTGATAAGGTGATAATGAAAACTGTGTCATGCATGAATATCCATTTTAAAAACACACTTATGTCAGTCTTTACGTAAAGGTCGAAATTAATGTCATGTTGAAAACATTTTTCAAACCACAATTATCTTGACTCATGAAGCGAACCGAATTCCTATTAGGTTTACAGTCTTGGGTTTAAGCCTCACACATTTCACCAGAAGGGCTTCACCAATCAAAGTAAAAGCTGAATTGAAGACAGATCACAAGGACTTTCAATCCCTGGAGCTGGCTGCCTTTGTTCAGCCTTCTGGGTCACATCTTGTCCTCCAGGGAGAAGTGGCTGATGAGTCAGAAGGCGCTTGTGAAGCCGTCCTTCTCCCAGTGCATCCCACGGACCCCCAGATGCTCTTTTGCACAGGTATGTCTCTTCCCACCAGGTGGCAACTGCGACCTGGAGCCCCTGGCCCAAGAGCCGCCAGTCAGTGCATCACTGGAGCAGCAAGGGACACCCCGTGTGCCCTGCCCACAGGTGGGGAGCAGCCACCAACAGGGCTCCAGATGCTCTTTCACCCAGGCATGTCTCTTCCCACTGGGTGGCATCTGCGACCTGGAGTCCCTGACCCAAGAGCCGCCAGTCAGTGCATCACTGGAGCAGCAAGGGACACCCACTGTATCCCCTGCCCACAGGCAAGGAGCAGCCACCAATAGGCTCCAGAGGCTGATGGGGAGCCACTGTGTGGTGCATCCCCCCTGCCCAGCAGCCGTTTTGGTGTTTTGGTGGTGCCCGGAAGGTGTACAGTACCCTGTGGAAGTGGCTCGATGTATTAGCCATCTGTAGCTGCATAACGCCACACACTTAACAGCTTTAAACAACGCCCATTTGCCACCGTGCGGCACGGCAGCTTGGAAGTCCTGACAGGCTTGGCTGGGCTCTCTGCCTTTGCTCTCACAAGCTGGAACCAGCGTCAGCTCTGCTGTACTGTAGGTGGAGGCTCCAGGGAACATCAGCTTATGGTCTCATCCAGGTTGTGGCAAAATTCAGTTCCTTGTGGTTCCAGGACTGAAGTCCCTGTTTTCTCATGTCTATCAGCCAAGGACTAGTCTTGGTCCCTAAAGGCTGCTCTCAGGTCCTGACCCATGAGCCCCTCCACATCACCATCAGGAAAGGAGCAGCTCCCTGGACAGAGCAGCTCCCTGGACAGAGCAGCTCTGTCACCCATGGGTCCCTCTGACTTCCCCTTCCATCAGCAGTTCAAGAATATCCTCTGCTGTAAAGGGTGTGTGGTGAAGCTCAGCCCAGCTGGGTAATCTGCTATTTTAAAGTCAAAGGATTAGGAACTTTCTCCGTCCACCTGTGCTGCTGCAACACAATACCTGAGACTGGGGATTCGTAAAGAAGAGAAATTCCTTTCTCACAGTTCTGGAGGCTGGGAAGTCCAAGTCAAGGCACTAGCAGGTTTGGCATCTGAGGAAGGCCTAGTGTCTGCTTCCGAGATGACACCTGTTGCTGTGTCATCCAGGGGGAATGAATGCTGTGTCCTCACACGGCAGAAGACAAAGGGGTACGAGCCTACAGTGCTCCCCTCAGCCTCTTTTATAAGGACGGGAATCCTATTCATGGGGGTTCTATACTCGTGACTTCATTTCCCCACCTCTTAATACTCTCACTTGGGTGATTAAGTTTCGACATATAAATTTTGGTGGACACACTCAGACCATAGCAGTAACCCTAATTACACCTGCATCAGTGAATCCAGTCTTCAAAGTCTTGGGGATTAGAGTAGGAAATCTTGAAGGCCATATTAGAATTTTGCCTCCCACACCTGGTAAGTAAGGAATACTTACCATAAGCTCAAAAGTCAAGCTCTGTTCAAGTATTCCCCACCCTCCATTTGCACACAATTTCCAGGCCTTCTGATTTTACCACTACTACTAATAATAGTGGTGGCTAGCCCTTGATGCCAGCCTCTCTGTTCCACACCTAAAAACTGGTCTCATTTAAAACACACAATCCTCTATGAAGCTAACTCTATTACTAGTTCCATTTTGCAGAGAAGAAG